ATCAGGCGATCGGGCGGGCCAGGGCATTGCTTGGATCTTCTTCTCTGAAAACCAGACTTTTATCGACTTGGCAGTGTGTGCAGGAGCCCCATCTTGCTGAAAAATCCATTTGCGTCTTCCAAAAAATTCATGGGCTGATGGATTTAAACGCTGCTTTAGAGTTGTTTTGTAGTTATATTGATTGATCCGACCGGTGTATGTTCTGCAGAGACCAATACCTTTATGAGAGATGCAACCCCAGACTCTTGCTGACCCTCCTCTGCCTTGTATTCTAGGTGATACCATGCCCATGTCATACTTCTGCAATTTCTTTCTTTTGATATAAACTCGTCCTTTGCAATTTATGACCTCGAAATTGGATTCATCACTGAAAATACACTTCGCCCAAGCTTCTACTGACCAACTGGCATGTTCTCGGCACCATTTCAGTCGTCTCAGCCGGTCCCGTACTGTCAAAAGTGGCTTCCTAGCAGCAATGTACAAAATGATTCCTTTTTCTTTTAAAACCTTTCTTACCGTTTCATAACTAATACTATGATTTCTGAATGAGCTATTGAAATCCTCGCCTAATTCTCGAAGAGTAATTTTAGGTTTGGCATTAACCTTTGATATGAAGAAGTTTTTGTCTCGGGTACTAAGCTTTTCTGGTCTTCCAGAGCGCAGCATATCTTTGACACTCTTTCTCAATTTGTAGTTTTTTATCGTTGTTGAGACGCATTTTTATGAAACACCCAACTCTTTTGCTATTTGTGTGTCAGATTTATCTGTATTTTGTTTTAATGCAACAATCTGCCATCTAGTTGCATCATCTACTCCTTTTTTACCCATTTTTTTACCAAAAATGTCTGGAAGTACCAACTATCTTAACTTTATTTCTAATTTAAATTTTTTAGAAATTTTTTTTGTAACATATCCTTTATATACAGTAGTGAATAAATACACAAAATTTAAAATTCAAAAATTAACAACTTTTTATGATATGTGATTTCAAAGTCATGTGCTAAATTTAATAAATAATTTATATCAGCTTAGAAAATTACCTCTAATTACTTAGTCTTATTTTAAATCCAATTAGCAATTTTAATTAAAATCATATCTGATAAAAAATTAATTTATCTACTCGATTTAGATTAATTTATCTACTCGATTTAGAGAAAATAATTGAAAAATCTTAATCCGTTGAATTTCTATTTAAGTTTTTCTGTCGAGTATTGAATAAAAATGTAAGCGGTACTAAATTTTACTGAAAAACTATATATATATATATATATATATATATATATATATATATATATATATATATATATATATATATATATATATACACAACTCTAGGAATTAGGGTCGGAATATATTGCTGACCTCGTTTCTATGTTTTATGGTAAGAATTTTTATTTGTATATATATATATATGTATATATATATATATATATATATATATATATATATATATATATATATATATATATATATATATATATATATACATATATATATATAAACAGAATATTATATTTATTTGTAGTTATTTGTTCAAACAAATTTTTTTTTCCTTTAAAGTTTACTTATTAGATATAGAAATGGGTAGACTAATTACTGGAGCTATAAATCCAGTGGTACTTTATGTCAGTGGTGGAAACACACAAGTATTTTAACCATATTCAATTTTTTATTTGTGCCTTAATTTACATTTAAATTTAATGTTTAAAAATATATTTTCATACATGAATTTAATTTTTAAGTTTACCTATGTATAATAATATTTAAAACCCAAATTAATTATTGAATCATTTAGGTTATAATTATATTTGTCATAGGTCATATCTTATTCTCAGCAATGTTACCGGATATTTGGGGAAACTATTGATATGGCAATAGGCAATTGCTTGGATCGTTTTGCTCGAGTGCTTAAAGTATGAATTTTTTTTCTATGAAATCTGTAAATAAAAAAATTTAGTATTTTAAATTTATAATAAATTCATAATCTTGGGAATCAAAAATAATAAGAAATATTTTACTTGTGTGTGTGTGTGAGTGTGTGTGTGTGTGTGTGTGTGTGTGTGTGTGTGTGTGTGTGTGTGTGTGTGTGTGTGTGTGTGTGTGTGTGTGTGTGTGAATATTATTTTTTCATACAGAAAATAGTTTAAAAAAAAATAATCTTTTGACATGTTTAAATTTTCAGCTTTCAAATGATCCAAGTCCTGGTTACAATATTGAGCAGATGGCAAAGAAGTATTTGTTTTAAATTTTGTTCATTTACATACTTATCTTGCCCACATAAATCATATCTTTAGCACTAATTTGTGGTTCCATAATAATCATATTGTGCTATGTTATTCCAGAAGATATTCTTTTCTTCCTTCTACAATAGTGTCTTTTACATTGATTATCTTTCACACTAAAGTTCAAAATAAATTTTAGAGGGAAAAAGTTTATTGAACTTCCTTATTCAGTGAAAGGAATGGATGTCAGTTTTTCTGGAATTCTATCATTTATTGAGGTACTTTTTACTTTTCTTATCTGGAATTCTATAATTTATTAAGATTTTTTGGTACATTTTTTAATTTCTTGAAAAAGAAATGTTTTTTTATTAAACTTTTTTTCTATTTTTTATCTTGTTTTTAGAAATATCTGGTTAATGATTTAGTTAACAAATATAAAAAACAATTTTTCTCTGAGTTATCATAAATTCTAATCTTAAATTAAAGATTTCAATTATAAAAAGACAAAATAAATGATTTTCAGCATTTTAGCTACCACTTTTGATAACCGAAGTTATTTTAATTATGAGTTACCCATAATGATTTTAAACATTTTTTTTGTCTCCATTTATTTAACCTTTTTTTTTTTTTTGTTAACATTTATTTATTTAATAATGAAAATTTACAGTGATAAATTATAAATTTACATAAGTAAGGTTAGGTGTCACTCATATAGTTAAAAACTAGTCAATGGAGTGACACCTAAAAAAAAGAAAAAAGTTAAAAGGAAAGAAAAATAAGCAACAATAACAATAAAGAAGATTTAAAAAAAAAAAAAAGGAAAAGAAAGTTAAAAGTAATAATATTTATAAAAATAATAATAGTAACAATAATATGAATAAAAGTAATATAAAAAATAATAACTGCAATATAATAATGTAAAAAGAATTATAAATGGTAAAGCAATAGTAAGATAATTATAGTATAGTTAATAATTATAAAATAAACAATTTAAAGAATAGTTATAACAATAATGATTTGACTATCATTATAGGTAATAATATTAAGGCAACAAAAACAAAAATATATAAATAATAATAGTAATAACAATAATAAAAATAGTAGTAGTAACAATGTAAAGATTAATAATAACAATAAAAATAAAAAAAATACTTATGTATAAACCCCAATTCCTAGAGTCAGTGTTTGTTGAAATCATCTTCTATAAAAAGTCTAATATCATAGTAGGATGTATCTATCGCCATCCTAATATGGATATTGATGAAATTAATTTTTCATATCTAGCTGTTTTATTTGAAAAACTTTCCCTTGAGAAGAATAAAACCATCTTTTTAATGGGTGACTTTAATATAGATCTTATTAAAGCAAACTCAGATAGTTCCATTGCGGAGTATTTAAACACCATTGCCTCTAACAACTTTCTTCCTTTTATATCCTTACTGACAAGAATTTATCACTCACTCAAGATCTTTAATTGATAATATATTTTCTAACTGTGGAAGATGATTTCAACAAACACTGACTCTAGGAATTAGGGTTTATACATAAGTAAATCATTTCTAGGTTTATAAATTAGTTTTTCAGAAATATAAATTAAAGCTCCTCCAAATAATGTTTCGGTTGGAGTATGTTCATAAACATATCCATTAAGATTTATAGGAACTGTCAGTAGTAGATCATATTTCAGCTTGGATTCCGTTATTCCGATAACGTTGAGTTCATAACTAATTAGATGAAGAAGTGAATTTAATTCATCAAAATGTTTAACTAATGAAGCAATCTTCAAATGAAGAAGAGAAAAACAATTATTTGTGATTTTTGAAGAAATAAAATTTTTAATATCTATATATTTACAATTAATTGGATTGTCAACTAAGTTCATATCATCATCGTCATTATTATTTAGTTGATAAGAGAAAAAGTTATTAAGTTGATTGAAAATATTAGATTCTAGAGAGGTAGGAAAGAATGAAAGGTCATTTGGAAGTTCATTGAGATGTAGTATACTATCAATTGACGATTGAAGGCGAAGCTCTTTATCCGATATAGAACAAAAAGGAAAGATACTAATGTGGCATGTTATATATATATATTTATACAAAGTATATATATATACATGTTATATATATATACTTATACAAAGCCAAAAATTGATGGAAGAGTTAATTGATGATCTAAAATCAATTTTATTCAGAGAACATTTATTATGGAATGAATTTAAACAGTGTTTACATTGAAACGAAAGATGATTAGCACAAATATGTTTATTACAAATTTTACAAAATTGAGACATTATAGTAGAAATTAGTTTATAAAGTAAGCTATAGATATAAATAAGATTATTAGTAACTTAAACAACAATAAAATAGCATATACTAAAATATAATATACTAAAATATAAAAATGAGGATAATTAAGATAATAATATTGGCAATACGAATACTAATAAATACTAATAATAAAATAATGAATACAAGAATAATAATAATCACGACAATAATAACAATAGTGACAGTAATACAAATAACAGCAGTAGCAATATGTAATAAAAATAAAAATATGAATACTGTAATTATAATCAACACTCAATAATAAAAAGTATGACAATAAAACTAATAATAAAATAATTTATAATATGTATAATATGTAAAAATATATAAGTAAAAAAAAGAAAAGGAAAAAATAAGCTAAAAAAAAAAAAAGAAAAAAAAATCAAAGTAAATACAATACAATTTCAAATATTAGCGCAAAAAATAATGCTTTTTAAACTTCTTTCCAACTTTAAACTTCTATCTTTCAAACTTGAAACTTCTTTCAGACTTTCTTTCAGACGTTATTTTTTCTTTCAAATGATTTTAAAAGTTGATAACAAAAAAAGTTCTTTTTAAAAATTTGAATTTCTTTAATACTTTTTGTTTCTTTATAGTAGGTATTTCGTTGCTCAAATTCTTATCACTTTTTTAAATTTATATTATTGGCATTAATATCAAATACCTTAATCTTCAATTAAATTTATAGATTCCCTTTTTTTATTCAAATAATTTACTGCTTTTTTCTTTTTTCTTTTCTTTTTTATTATCCATTACACATCATTTCAAGCAATACAATATATGTATATGTATATGTATATGTATATGTATATGTATATGTATATACATATACATATACATATACATATACATATACATATACATATACATATATATATATATATATATATATATATATATATATATATATATATATATATATATATATATATATATATATATATATATATATATATATATATATATATATGTATATATATATATATAAATATATATATATATATATATATATTGTTTTCTAAAGAAGATAGGTCAGGTTTTCCTGCTACTGGTAACATGTAACCCAGTACAACCTGCTCCATGTCCTGCTGCCTTGTAGGATACGCTTTTTTAGGCAAAGGCTAGGAGAAGTTAACTCCGAATTAAAACACCCCCTGCCTTGGGGCTCTTGGTTGAGTAAAGGCTAGAGATGGTGTCTCGATAAAAATACTCATCTTGGGCAGATGTTACATGCATCCAGCTGCTGTCTTGTAGAAGGCCTCCTAGGCAAAGACTTAAGGGGTAAACAGATTCTATCTGTTGACCAGCCTCGCACCCCTTCCTCATCTATTAGGCTGGCGCAGATGTATTTTTAATACATTGTTTCCAGTTTAGGATGTTGAACGCTGGATCTTCTTGACTCAATGCGTGGGTATTGCTTGTGTCTCTATTTTTATGACTGGGCAACTCATTCTATTATCTCCTTATGAGGGTACAGCTCTAAAACTCAGTTTTATGGTTCTGAGGCCGGCTGGTAGTCAGGTTTCCCGAACTCTGTGGTAGCTCTCAGAGAGGCTGATTCCATCAACAGCCGAAAAATATCAGAGTACTAACAGTGCCATGTTGCGCATGGATGGTGTCCCTGTTTGTACTTTTGGTGTGCATTGCAGAGGCCACATTTGGAGCCCTTTGTTACGGCTTAGGGTTTATTAATAGTAATGAGGCTATTGCTTAGTTGTTAAATAGTGTACTGAGTACTATCTATACTTGAGTCAAGTTCTTTATAAATTTAAAATGACTAAAGTACCTAAAACTAAAAAACATAAAAAACCATCGTCATCACCAAGTTCTCTAAACCTATCATTTACTAATATTCGTGGTCTTCGAAGTAACTTTTCTTCTGTTGAGTCTTATCTCTTGCAAAGTTCACCAGACCTACTTGCTCTTTGTGAGACTAATTTGAGTTCGGTTGTCCCATCTTGTGATCTTAGTGTTGATGGTTATCTTCCTTTAATTCGTAAAGACTCCAATAATCACATGCTTGGTCTGGGCATCTACATTCGTAAGAACTCACCCATTTGTCGTGAAACTAGGTTTGAATCTACAGACTATTCATTTATGTGCTTTCGTTTAGCACAACTTCACTCTATCGCCTTTCTCTTTGTTCTATATCGCTCTCCTTCATCCCAAGATTGCACTATTCTTGATGTTATTTCTGATCAAATTGACCAAGCCCTCTCTCTTTATCCATCGGCCAATATCGTCGTTGTTGGTGACTTTAATGCCCACCACACCGATTTACTTGGCTCTAGTGTCAGTGACTCTGCTGGCGTTAAGGCCCTCAACTTTTGCCTTTCTCAATCTCTAACTCAAATAGTCAACTTTCCAACTCGTTTTCCAGACAACCCTAATCATTTACCTTCTCTACTCGACTTATGTCTTGTTTTGGATCCTAGTCAGTGCTCAATTTCTCCACATTCACCCTTAGGTACTTCTGATCACGGTTTGATCTCTCTAAAACTATTATCAAATTCTTCTACTTCATCAGAATCCCCCTATCATCGTACCACATACAACTACCTTAAAGCTGACTGGGACTCTTTCCGTGATTTTCTTCGTGATGGCCCTTGGGTAGAAATCTTTCGTCTTCCTGCTGACAAATGTGCTTCTTACATAACTTCGTGGATTCAGGCTGGCATGGAATCTTTTATTCCCTCTCGACGATTCCAGGTCAAGCCTCACTCTTCTCCTTGGTTTTCCTCACATTGTGCTGCAGCAATTTCTAATCGAAACTGTTACTTCCATATCTATCAGCAAAACAATTCTCCAGAAAACAGACATCTGTTCACTATTGCCAGAAACCATTGTAAAAAGGTTTTGTCTGACGCCAAAGCTCGCTATTCCCAGGTCATTAAATCTCGTATCTCATCACAAAAATTAGGCTCTCGAGACTTCTGGAGAATCTTTAA